AAGGGATCTTATGGAAAGAGCAAGCCATGAGGCTCAGATTGGTGCCTACACTTTCAACACCCACTTGTGCTGTTGCTGTACAAAGGAGAAGTTATCCCTTGCTGTGAAGGGAGGAGCTCATGAACTTTACACCCAAACCTTTGTCAGTGGGTCTGGCTCTTCTGTCCAGCACTGTTGACCTGTCCCAGCCCCTTGGGAGCCCAATTCAGCCCACGATGCTCTCCAAGCACTGCTTGATATCCAGTGAAGTCAGTTAAAAGACTGGCCTTAACTTCAGAGCTGCTTGGTTGAGCCTTTGCAGAGAGCAGAGGCTTTGTACACTATCATCTCATGAGGAGCAAAGTGAACCAGGATGTGAGCACGGGCAGCTCCCATCTCCACTTAGGGTGCACCTTGTCCCCCAGTCTGGTCCTTGGGGTTGTTTGATATGACCATCCTGGACTAAGAAAACCTCACCCAGAATAGATACACTATAGATGTATAGATGTAGATAGATAGACAGATAGATAGAAGCGAAACCTTTCTCCACAAAACACACCTATTTCCCCAAAAGCACATTTTTAACAGAAAGAAGTTCTACACAGTTCAAACCAGCCCTTCCCCGGGTATTTAATACAGAACCATAAATGCAGATTTAGGGTTTAATTTTCCCTGTATTGTTTTCATTGTCTGGCTTGGCACTTCTTTAAAAGTGAAGAATAATATTAACAAGCAGAAAAGGCCCAGAAGGTATTTACTGTTGTTCCACCCTGTAGCCAGTCACAACTGTATCAAACCCAGCACAATGAAGCACACAGCACACAAATAAAACGAGACACAAACAGAGGTAATAAAAGAGACAAGTATCTGTTTCAAAAGCACTGGGAGAGCAGCAGGAGTGTAACTACTTCATGTTCCAGCTAATATAGCTGTCTGGAGTGATCCTCAGAAAGCTATAGCAGGGAGCAGTTTATGGCTTTCCCTTGGAGAGCTCTTGTAAATATTTGCCTGCAGTGGCTGAGGACCATTGGGAATGCTGGGGAGGTGTTCATCATCCCCGTTTGCCAGCCCAGCTAATGAACCTGCTGTATGGGATGTCCGCACAGCACACCCAGCACTGTGGGCATGGATGTAGACAGGGCATCACATTATTCTCAGGATGTGCCTGATGCTGGGTTACTCCGAGAGTGATTTTTCCATGGGTAACAATGCATAAGCACTCTCTGGGAGGAACAGCTCGCTTCAGGTGTGCCTCTTTCCTGTGTATGGATTTGGGTTGAGCGTGGTGCATCCCCCTCTCTACTGCTTGTCCTCTCCAGATGGAAATCCATTGCTTTCCACAGCCTCTTGCCACCTGGGAAGGGGGGGATGCCATTCCAGCCAATGCAGAATGACCTGATTCCTTTCTCCATCTGATAAAAGCCAAGATGAGAGCTGGCCTCGTCATTCAGCTCCCTCAGTGTGCCACCCCACAAGGTAGCTCTCAGACCACTCCATGCATTTGCTCTTCAGACTCACAGCCCTTTGCAGCCAAGTGACTCTCACTCTGCCACCCTGGTACCAGCCTGCCTGATGTAAAGGGGTTCTTTGCCTGCTCTTGGGGTGCACCTGGGGGGCTGCAGCCATTATCACGGTGCCAGCAGCTTCCTTCCTGCAGACAGGATGGGTGGCTGCTTGCCCCTGGGGTACATTGCTCATGACTGCAACATACCCCATGCGCCTTGTGTGGTTTAGATGACTGAGGAGTCCATGAGATGTGGTGCCAGTGCAGACACCAAGCTGACCATCCCAGTGAAGCACCAATGCTGCTGCATTTGCCCTGCATGGCTCCACTGCCTCCCAGCCTGTCCCACCAGCACAGCACCCTGAAGCAGTGGTAGGTCACCAGAACCACAACTGGGAGCTGTGTCTGCCCTGAACGGTGTCCCACTGGCCCTGGAGGGTCCTTAGCCCATTCCAGTCTTAGGGATACACTGATGCAGCTGCTTTTATGGGAGGCTGAGCATTAACAAGCTGCAGAGCCCTCCAGATAAATCATCAGCCCATATATCTCGGGGCAGGACAAACAGGGATCATTGAAAATCAGCCCTTTTGCCCCCAGATGATATTGTGCATGACAAAGCACTGTGCTCCAGGCTGTGCTCTCCCCTCCTTTATGGCAGAGGCATCACCCTGCATGTGCTGGCCACGCTGGGAAGGGCAGCTCCAGAAATCAGGCCCCTGCCTGCATCAGCCACGGCTGGAGGCTCCGTCGGGGCTTTGGATCCCATTCAGTCTCCTCCTCTTACCGCTTCTTATTAATTCATGCTCCCGATCCGAGGCTTCCCAGATGTCCTCACATCTTGTGCCAGCTCTCTAATCAAGTTGGCCCATTCTCCATCCCTGCTGGGCAGGAGGTATCAGGTACAAGGTGGTCAGAGTGCCATAGCCTGACATCAGGCACAGGGATACATTGCCTCCTGCCTCAGCCAAAGCAGGACTAAGATTTCATCCTCTTCCTGCTCACAGGTCTGTTTGCATCTGGGGAGCAGGCATTGTGTATTCTGCTGCAGGCCAAGTCATTTTGTCAGGTTGAGTGAGTGCAGGCCGAATATACTGCCTCAAAACTTCTTCTATAGGCTCTACATGACATTTCCTGTGGATATTCTCATTCTCCAAATATCTTTCTATATATTAAAACCAAAAGAAAAATCCAGTCCCTACATTTCTAATGTCTATGGCTCAGTGTTTTCAGGAGGGCTTTTAACAGAACTCCCAGCACTGGAGATGCTGCTCAGCTCTCCAGCACACCTCCAGCACTCACCTCTACCTGCTTAGCCGCCAGGGTGATGCTCCATGGGGATGCAGCTCCCATTCCCAGTGCTCATATGGCTCCACCACTGCCCTGTCCACCCTCAGCGCATGCTGCATCTGATGAGGGCTCTGCAGATCCCGTCAGGGAAAGATCACAATCTCTTTATTAATAATATGGGAGTATCTGGCTGGGACCTCGCTGTGCCAGGCTCTGTGCATCCATGTGCTCTGCCCCATAAGTGGAGCCAGAACCCACCTGGGAGCCAGAGAGCACCAGGACAAGGCCACCATCCACCCCAGGGCTGCCCAGGTGACAGCAGGGGCTCATCCCTGGCTCCGCACTGGAGCACTCCCCTTCATCCTGCCCCACACCACACCTCACTGGCTGCCCATCCCAATGGCTCTTCAGGACAATGCATGTCCCTACAGTCTGAAGGCATAAAGTCCTTGAACTTCCTGTGTGATTTCAAGGGGGGGAAAGCCCAGGAGATTACCGAGATCAATAGAGGATTTGGGTAAAACAGGACCCGCCATTGACTCCTCCCTCTACTCCGGGCTCTCAGATCCTGGTTGCTGCTGGCCTGTCCCCATTAGCTATTGTTCCTATTCATTTTAGATGAAGGGGCTTTTGTTGTAGGAACCCAAGCCGGGTCACATCGCCCCTCGGTTATCAATCTGTTTCTCTCTCCCCTGTCCCATACTCCATCTCCCCGGTACAATGGGATGTTTTCTTCGGCAGCAGCTTCCTGACAGGCAGCGGTTCCCTTTGCCTTACAATCACTTGTTAAGCTGTGCTAGCCTCGGGCTCCCCGGTCCCTTTTCCACCATACTCCCAGTTTAACCCCTGATCCCATCTGTGCTACGGGTCACTGGGAAAAGGGAAAAACTGCAGCGGTCCCAGTGGGACTGGCGCAGGCTGAGCACGCAGGAGGCATCCGAACTGGAAGCCTTCCCTTTTCCTAATTGTACAGGAGCACCTGGAAATATCAGATGGTGGAAGCAAAGTCTTCAGCTCTTGTTTGCGAAAGGGACAGCATCTGGGTTGCTGATTTTAAGCTTTTGCAGGCTCGCTTGCCAAAGGGCTCTCCTGCTGTGCAGATCTGTCTCCTTGGTGTCCCATGCAGGGATCCCAAAAGAAGGGAATCCCACAGTAACCCATTTGAAATACAAAACCTTGCTTGGCTTCAAACTTAAACAGAGGAGATTGAAGTTAGGTATAAGGAAGAAGTTCTTCACTATGAGGGTGCTGGCACAGTGTGCCCAGAGAAGCTGTGGCTGCCCCATGCCTGGCAGTGTTCAAGGCCAGGTGGGACACAGGGGCTTGGAGCAAGCTGCTCTAGTGGAAGGTGTCCCTGCCTGTAGCAGGGATGACCTTCAGGTCCTTTCCACCCCAAACCATTCTATGATTCTATTCTATGATTCTAATAGGCTGCTGGTGGTGGTGGAGGTGAATTTTGGCACTACTGTGCTGGGAGAAGAGCCCCACTTGCTATTGGAAGTAGACCCAGGAATGACTTGTGCAGCAGAACATTCCTCGGGGGGAGGCAGGAGGGGAGCAAGCACTGAAACAATAAATAGATAAAAGGAGAAAAGAACAGCCAAGGAAGGTAAGGAACAAGAGCAAACAGGACCACGGAGGAGAGCCTGCCAGGACCATCCCCATGAGCCCATGCCAGCAGTGGGGCTGGTGCCAGGGAGCTGAGAGTCACGGGCACAATGCACAGCCCTGCAAGCTGGGATGGATGCACTCACCATTGCCCGTCAGCCCACAGGGAGGGTCATTGCAGGCCCACAGTGGAGCATCTCTGGGTCCTCAGGATCCCACCACCCCACTGCTGCCAGGGGATGCTGATGTCTGTGATGGGGTATAGGAAATGCTTTGGAATAGGTAGATCGATCAACACAGTGGGGAAAGAAGGAGGCTGCACTCAAAACATTAAGTCAGAGGTGTAAGAGGCTGAGTGAAATGGAAAGCATCTTTTGCTCCAAGCCTTTAAGTCATTATAAGCCCCCTCCACGTTATCCCTAAAACAGGTAAGAGGTGTAAATCCCCAGAACTGGATGTCATGACATCAGCCACCCAATTTTTCTGGCTTTATAGTACAGTGCTCACCAAACACTCTTTGTACGGAAACTCACCTAAAACCAAGGACAAAACCAGTCTGCTCATGGAATCTCATGTTTGGAGCTGTACTGGCAGAGCCCACAGCAACACAGGGCACGTAGGGTTGAAACTATTCACTATTTTATTGCCCTTTCTCCCAGGTAAGACACCTTCCTTCCGGAGAGCTGTTCCTGGCTGCTGGAGCCACCGGTGCCTGCAGCCCCAGCAGGCAGAAACAATGAGTCAGGTTCTGAAACAAATCACAGCATTGCCTTAAATATCATGGGGTTGTTTTAAATACAGCTATATTTAGCTTTACTGCTTTCTAGACACCAAAACTTTTTAAATAGACTCTGGTCATATTTTCCCTAGGCAACTAGTGACTTTTTAAAGGAAAACTGAGATTCTCACCAGGATTTCCAGGAAAAGAAGGCAGCGAACGTGAGTGCTGCGATGCAATCGCAGCAGTTCCACACACATCATTCCCCTGCAGCCTTTCACACTGATTTCACTTCTCTTTTCTTGTTTTCTCTGCTTGAAATGACCATTTATTCAAACAGAAAATGCAGCATTGTTCTAAGTGTCTAGGAAAAAAAGTATCATAATAAGCAGCATAAAGAAGTCAAAGCACTTTGCATTGATCGTGCTCCTTCTACAGGGCCCACTCCAAAGCCCATTGATGTCAGCAAAGTCTTTTCATTGCCTTCAATGAGCTGCGGATCAGAGCACAGATTTATAAAGGCATTTAGGCTCCTAATGATGTAAGTAGTTGCCTAGAGGTGTTAGGGGCCTAACCTGCTTATAGCCTTTTGTAAACCACACCAGGCATCTACTTACATGTTGAAGCATTGAAATACCTGCAATGCTACAGTATCTTGAAGTCACCAAACACACCGAGCTGGAATTACACTCATCAATGTGAGATAAAGTGATCTGGCAGCGTTGCAGCTGGGGTGGGTATGGATTTGGAAATCCATCCATTCCAGATAAGTTGCTATGCTTAGAGAAGAAAAATGTCATAAAGTTGGGAGAAGATCTAATAGAATAATTCACTGCACATAACATTTGTTATTAATTTTGGCCTGTTTACTATTTGGAAACACATTTTTATTAGCCAGCCAGCTCTGCAGATGGCTGATTATTATTCACTGCAATCCCCCCCCCCCCCTTGCATTGAATAATTTGTGGCTACATCAGCTTTATTCCCAAGTAGTGGAAGTTTAATTCCTCAGCTTGGTCCACACCAAACAGCAGGGAGAAAAAAGAGACCGAAGTCAAGTGTTTCATGTGCAAGTTTGCTTAAAGATTCTATGTTCTATGACAAACATTTCAAATTAAAAGGACATTCCCACAGGCAATGAAATAATGAAGCCCTGAGAACGGGGCAGCAGAGGCATGAAGCTGATAGCGATTTCCACGTTTTATGTACTCTCAAAGGAGGAGAGCAAATTGTGAGAGCAATATCCTGTTGTGTTTGTAGATATTTCCTACCAACTGTGGGCCGGATTCTGCAGCCAGCCATGGGGTAATGTGTTCAAGTCAGTGGGGAAAAGTCCTGTTTAGGGGCTTTCTGTGCTGTATTAAGTACTGTGCTTGGTGCAACTGTTGGCTGTAACACTGCAAGTGTATTTAACATCCGTGTCAGTGGTTGTGCTGGTTTTTAGGGGGACTGCTCTGTGTGAAGGTGTGGATTTACCATCAGGTAAATCAGGAACTGGTGTTCAGGTACCAGAGGGATGAGGGATGGTGGTGGTTCACAACTGTGTGGATGGACAGAAATGTGGGCAGAGGGTGCTCAGATGGACACTGAGGTCTCATTACCCTGCACGGGCTTCACAGCAAAGTCCGGTGAGCCTGGAAAGTCTGGCATCATCTAGAGAGAAGCTGTAGAGAGCTGAGATCTCCCCTCCGCCCCAGGGGACAGCCCCGCACCACTCTAACCCCCTGGAACAGCCTCCGGGGCACCCTCCGGACATCCCCGCATCCTTCTACCCCCCAGGACAGCCTCAGGGTACCCCTGTGCTCTGCACACCGGCTCCGGGACATCCCCTCGGACAGCTCCACATCCCTCTATCCCCCGGAACAGCCTCCGGAGCACCGCCGCACACCCCAGGACAGCTCCGCACCCCTCTATGCCCCCAAAGCAACCCCGGGGCATCTCTCGATCCCCTCGGACAGCCTCTGGGTACCCCTTAATCTCGGCGGCACACCTCCATCCCCCGCGGGCCCTTCAATTCCCCGGTACAGCCCCCGGATCCCCCTTAACCCCCCGGTACAGCCTCCAGGACATCCCCGCACCTCGCTCCGACCGGGCAGCGGCTCCCAGAGGGGCCGCCCCCCCCTTCCCCTCCCCTCCGCCCCCGGCTCTGCCCCCGCCCCGGTCCCGCCCCGCTCCCGGCGATGTCTCCGCCGAAGTTTGCCGCGGCGGCCGGCACGTGGGAGCCCCGCACCGAGGGCAGCGGCTCCCCCCGGTCCCTTCTCCCCCCCCCACACACGGGGGATGCCCCCCTGAAGCAGCGCCGCCGCGTGTCCCCCGCGCTGGGGATGCGGCAGCGCGCAGCCCCCCGCCACCGCGGAGCGCTGCGCGGAGGGGCCGCGCCGGGGGGCGGCCGCGGAGCATGGCCAGGGCGCCCGGCCGCCGCCTCGGGGTAGCATGGCCGTGAGCGCGGCGGCTGCCCCCGCCGCCGAGCCGCTGCCCCGCAGCATCTTCAAGAAGTTCCTGGTGATGCTCTGCTCCCTCCTCATGTCCCTCTACGTCTTCTACTGCTTGGCCGACCGCTGCCAGACCCTGCCCGGACCCATCATCGCCGCCGGTGCCGCCTCGGAGGAAGAGGAAGGCGGCGGCGGAGGGTACCTGGGGGGCTCGGCCGAGCTGCCCCCCTGGCAGGCGGCGGCGGCGCGGCGGAAGCGGCTTCTGCAGCGGCTCAAGCAGCGGCGGCGGCGGCAGGAGGCGGCGCCGGGCGAGGAGGTGCCGGCCGGGGGCGGCGGGAGCCGGGCGGGCGGCTCGGGCGGCGGCGGGGGCAGCAGCGCGGTGGGCACGGCCGGCTCCTTGACGCTGCTGCTGGGCGAGGGCTCCAAGCGGCTGCCGCAGGCCATCATCATCGGCGTGAAGAAGGGGGGGACGCGGGCGCTGCTGGAGTTCCTGCGGGTGCACCCCGACGTCCGCGCCGTCGGCGCCGAGCCCCACTTCTTCGACCGCAACTACGAGCGGGGACTCGCCTGGTACAGGTACGGGACGGGACGGGCTGGGCCGGGCGGCGGCGGCTCCGCGGCGGGGCCGGGCTGGGGCTATGGCCGAGCCGGCAGTGCCCCCCGCTGGCCGCGGGGACCCTCCGCTACCGGTCCGCGGCTCCCTGACCCACAGCCCCGCTACCCCAAATCCTCCTCTCCCCCGTCCCATCGCTGCGCCCCGAAGCCTCGTCCCTGCTCCCCAACACCCCCCCCCCCCCCCCCCCGACGGTCCTACCTCACTCCCCAGCCTCGCTTATCCCAGTCCCCGTCTCTGCTTCCCAGATCCTCGTTCCCCAGGCGCTCTTCCCCCAGCCCCTCTCTCCACCGCTTCTCCCGTCCCTGATCCCATATTCTCCAGCCCCCCTTTCCACCCCACGCACCCTCCTCCCTGCTCCCCGCCACCCCATCCTCTAATCCCAGCCCCGTTCCCCCAGAGCCCTCCTGCTTTGGGGGTGCCCCCTTGCAGCCCTAGGTGCTCCCTGCATGGGGGGGGGGGGAACCGGGCAAGGGGAAGAGCAGTGGGTGCCCCATCACCCTGGGGACTGCATGGAGATGCTGAGGCAGAGCTAAATCCCCCCCCCAGCGTCTTGCTGCTCCATAGCTTTTCTCAGGGATGGGGCTTTGCAAAGCCTGTGGCTCATCCTGACTCCCCTTGCAAAGCATCTTCTCATTGCCTCCTGCAGCCCCCAGCCCGGTTGCAGCACCTTTCCCATATTCAGTGTGAAGAAAACCCCTATTCCCCATGCAAATGTTCCAGCAGCCCCAGTAATGAGTAACCAAAAGCAGTTCCAGGAGGCCAAGCTTGCCTAAGCAATGAGCAAAGAGGTAGATAGGGTGGCTCTTTCAATGAATTAGTGTTTCATTAAACCAAATGAAAGGTATCCCCTTTAATGCAAGATGGTAAACGTTAAAGCCAAGGGGCAGGATTCTCATTCGTATTGTTTAGACGTTTTCCTTGTGTGTGTTAAAGTTAATAGAGGAGCAGATTCCGATGGAAAGGATTGGTTAGGGTGGGGGCAGAGATGCCTTTTTCTGTGTTTGTGGCTTTCTTGAATGAACACGCAAAAAAGGAGAGGATTTGGGTACTCCCGGAGTTTGTTTTACTCTTGCGTTAAGCCCAGCTATTAGGGCTGATTTTGGCTCAGTATTAGAATGCGGAGTAGGATAGTACTGATGGTCCGAGTGTTTATGTAAAAGGCTTAACACGTGGAAGCAAATGAGCTTCCTTGTGTACCCGGCAGTGTCAGGAACACGCCGGGATTTTGCAGGCAGCAGTGTGGGCTCTTTGAGAGGGAAAGCTTTCCTTTCGTGTGGGCTGAAGCTGTCTACAGAGCGGTATTTTTAGTGCGCGCCTCTCCCGTTTACCACGCGCTGACCCTGTATAGGGGAGGAAACGTCTCAAACCGGAGCTGAGAAACCTCAGGGACTTTAATCAAGCCTCGGCTTTGAAAAATAAATGCGCGGCTTTGGGGTGGCATCGGCTGAAATGGGTGGTGGGGATGAGGAAAAGCTCATTTATCAAAGATGCTCTGCAAGCCTTGAGGAGCAGATGGCAGTGGGATAGACCCGCTTCTGGGAGCTGCCTGAGCGGGGAGCGCAGACATAGACAGAGGAGGAGCCACAGGCGTTTAGGGCATAGTAATGGGGTAGGGGATTCAAGTTTTCCAGGGGTTTGGTCTGGATCTTGCTGTTCTTACTCATTCAAGGTGCTGCGCTGCATGCTGTTTGGTAATCGTTATGCCTTAGCGTGCGGTGCATGAGCTCTCCCATTAATTGCCGCAGTTTGTTTGCTCTGGTATTTGATGTACTGAATTTCATCACTTTATTTGAGTTTTATTAGCCCTGTGGAGCCTGAGGTACAGTGAATTCTTTGTATGGGCTTATTCCTTTGAGACCTAATCTTGCTGGCTTTGCTTGTATGAGTAATCTTTACTAACACAGAGAGTCCCAGCGCGATGGCAGCGCTGTGGTGTCAGCCCACTGGTAACCAGTTACCAGCCTGTTAGAAATACTCATTTCTGTGTCTCTCCATGGGTTTACTGCAATCTTTGAGGGTTCAGTGGCGGGGAAATGGCCAGATGTTTGCCAGGGGTCCTGACTTCTTATCTTTGACATCATCAGAGGCTTAGGTTTCACGTGCAGTTCTGTTTCCCAGCAGTCAGACTAAACAGCATCATTACAAGGTATAAACACTTGGGTTTGCTTTCAGCGCCCGCAGGAAGCCAGCTCAGGCAGTGAGCACCCTGTCCCAGGGAACAAAAAGCTCCTGGCTGTTTGCAGTGATGTGGGATGCAGATGGAGAAGAGCCAGCCAGCCTTCACAGGCAACGGTCAATGCTGTTGTCACCATGGGCTGTCACAGGGATGCTGCATCAGGACTATAGCAGGGTGGGCATGAGGGGGACCCCGGTTCCTCCTGGAAACAAAGAGCAGCTCCAGTAACAACTACTTGTCCTATGGTGTGAGGGTGGAATGGGGCTGAGCTGTGGCCACAGCAGCAGGATGATGCTCCCGGAGCGGCTGGTTTGATGTGGTACCTATAGGGCAGTGGCTCAAAGGCACTCACGTGGAGGTCCTGTCACCTACTGGTGTGCCACAAGGCACAAAACCACTCTGTTGAATCAAGTAGCGTAATTGCTCGGCTCTTACAGCCTGAGCTATGCCTGGGTGAGGAGGCAGTTGTCCTGCAGAGCCTGAGTTTATGAAACCCCAAGCTGAGTGATTGAATATGGTAAGCGCGACACCTCCGGGCATGGGTTTGGGTATCAAGGGAAGTTGTGTGCCAAAAGCTGCTTTCCCACTTTCAGGCTCGCAAGTCCTCTCTTCATACAGGAACAAAAAGAGGGAGGCAGCAGCCCACAATGCTCGCATTGACTTCCCAGCACAGAAACCTCTGCTCCAGCCCTGAACAAGGCTATTGAGCTAACAGGGTTCAATAGCAGGTGAGCATGGGTTTTAATAGAGTTCAACTGCCATCCCCCACCCCAATATGGCTATATACAGCCTGAGGAAAACTCCCAAGAACAGGGGCTAAGCCAATCAAGTAGAAGAAATGTCTGGATTAAAACCAGAATCTGTATTTGCAAGCGATATTGCGAGCCTGGCTGGTTCCCTCTGATCCTTTGTTAGTCTCGCACTGATTGAGCTGCCTGTTGGAATGTCATTATCCTGTCAGTCACCCCAGGAACATTTATTTCATATGGTTTAATCTCCCTGGCTCTGTAGCACCGATGCCAATTTCACTAGAGCGAAGCCAAGCTAATGTCATTAGATTACACCCCATCCAGGGGAAGATGAAAGATGATTCAAAGTTACTCCGTCAGGTTGGGAGTTTAAGCCTCGCTCCTCCCTGATGCTTCCAGAGCTGGGGAGTTCTGTCTCCTAATTACTGTCCTCCTGGGAGTTCGCTCCAAGGCTTTTTCTTTCTAATCCAGGCAGTCACTGATGTTTCTGAATCAAAGGGAACAGAGAACATCTCGGTTGCTGAAGAGATAGGATGGGAGAGAAGGGGGTTTGTTTAGGGATGTGCTTACAGCAGCTGTTAGCAGCTGTATCCCATCCTCTGTGCCTCAAATCAGGGTGAAATCAGAGCCTTGGGGATGGAGGAGTCGGGCTGCTCCAGTCCTGGGGTTTTGTGGTCACTAATTCAGGAGCACAGTCTGTGAGTGCTTTGTGAGCATAGAAGTGAGGCTGGGAGCATAGGTGTAGGGATGATGCCAGGAGAGACTTCAGTGGAGCGAGCACCATTCCTGAAAGGTGGAGCAGGACTGGATGGCCATCAGGAGGAAAGACCTTGTTGCAAACCCCTCTGTGTGAAGGAGATGCTGTAGCAGTAGTTACCTTGAGCTGATCTTCTCCCTGGCCTTTCTTCAGCCATCCTTGCAGCCACTGCAAGAAACAGCAGGGCTTTGGCTACGTGTGCCCAACCCAGAACATGGATTGTGCCTTTGGACATGGAGTTGAGCTGGTCTGGGTTTTCTGCTCCCTGCTGTGTGCACGTCTGCTTGTAGGAAGGTCTGGTTTAGCAGCGCCTGCCTGCTCCTCATCTCCTAAACACATCTGAATTACAAACAGCATCAAGCACAGCCTGCAACAGTTTCTTGGGAAATTGCAGCCTTGGACAGCCACATGCTGAAGAGGATCAAGGTCCTTGTTTATTTATTAGCTGTGTAATCAGATACCTCCCATACTGAGCTCATGGTGCCAGGTGCTGTATAAAAAGGGAACAAAAGATGGTCTTGGCCCCAAAGCACGGGTAATTCACTGTAAACAAGAGGTGGAGATGGGCACAAAAACAGGGGAGTGTGTGTCAATTGGTTGGGGAGCATGGGTCTTCTGGCCAAGGAGTTACTGGGGATGGAGGATGAGGTGGGTTTATGGGTGGTTGAATGGACCTTTCCTTCCTGGGGAAGAGCAACGGTGAGGAGGAGGTCATTGAAAATGCTGTTGCAATCAGGGCTGGAGTCACCAAGTCTGTTATAAAGACAGTGACTGATTCTGGTGCTCATGTGCCCTGCTGCTGCCTTTGTGCATGATCTGGACTCTGCTGCTCCAAGGTGTTATGACAAAGATGCCTTAGTGTGCCTGTTCACCCATCAGTGAAGTGGGAGAGGAGTCACTGCCCCGTGCTGCAGGGATGTAACAGCAGGGATGTGACTCTGGCACCTCTCTCTAGCCCAGGCATGAGGAGGTGTATGGAGTCTGAGCTTACCAGGCTATGCTGTGGGGTAAATAACACCCATAGCAGGTGAACCCCATCAGAGCTGCTGGCAGAGGTCCTGCAGCCTTGGCACAGCCTTGGCTTGCTCTCCTCTTGTGGAGTGCTGTCCGGTGTGCACACCTAATGGATGGCACTGTCCAGGCATGTCCAGCACTATCTAACTGCAAAGAGCTTCGTCCGGGCTCTTTCCTCTCCTTAAATAAACTCCAAAGGGTTATTTTGGTGATTCTTTTAAGCACTTTCCATCTATATGTATCACTTCTGTTTTCTGTTAATGC